ATTGAAAACAACACACTCTACATGGGGCCGACCCATTGAAAACCACGCACTCCACATGCAGCCAACCCACTGAAAACCACGCATCACATGTGAGGCCGACCCACTGAAAACATGCACCACACGTGGGGCCGACCCACTGAAAAAACGCATTAACATGAGGCCGATCCACTGAAAACAACGTACCCCACATGGGGCCGACCCACTGAAAACCACGCACTACACGTGAGGCCGACCCACTGAAAACCACGCACCACACGTGGGGCCGACCCACTGAAAACAACGCATTAACATGGGGCCAACCCACTGAAAACAACGCACCCCACGTGGGGCCGACCCATTGAAAACAACGCACCCCACATGGGGCCGACCCACGGCAGTGGTACACAAGGAGCAGAGTACACTGAGATGCTGAGAGCTCCCCTTGTGGTTGGTCTGCAGATCCATTCCATACATATAACAAAAAGAAGGAAAAGCATAAAATGTGTCACAAAAAAAATCACTTTATTACATAATATCCAAATACTTCCTATACCGGAGGATGCACAGAGCACACGGGAACAGCGGGGTGCGGGACCATGGCCAATCACATGACACATGGGACGACGGACCATGGCCAATCACATGACACATGGGATGACGGACCATGGCTGATCACGACACATGGGATGACGGACCATGGCCGATCACGACACATGGGATGATGGACCATGGCCAATCACATGACACATGGGACGACGGACCATGGCCGATCACGACACATGGGACGACGGACCATGGCCGATCACATGACACATGGGACGACGGACCATGGCCGATCACATGACACATGGGACGATGGACCATGGCCGATCACGACACATGGGACGACGGACCATGGCCGATCACGACACATGGGACGACGGACCATGGCCGATCACGACACATGGGACGATGGACCATGGCCGATCACATGACACATGGGACGACGGACCATGGCCGATCACGACACATGGGACGACGGACCATGGCCGATCACATGACACATGGGACGATGGACCATGGCCGATCACATGACACATGGGATGATGGACCATGGCCGATCACATGACACATGGGATGATGGACCATGGCCGATCACATGACACATGGGATGATGGACCATGGCCAATCAGATGACACATGGGATGACGGACCATGGCTGATCACGACACATGGGATGACGGACCATGGCCGATCACGACACATGGGATGATGGACCATGGCCGATCACATGACACATGGGACGACGGACCATGGCCGATCACGACACATGGGACGACGGACCATGGCCGATCACATGACACATGGGACGACGGACCATGGCCGATCACATGACACATGGGATGATGGACCATGGCCGATCACATGACACATGGGATGATGGACCATGGCCGATCACATGACACATGGGATGATGGACCATGGCCGATCACATGACACATGGGATGATGGACCATGGCCGATCACATGACACATGGGACGACGGACCATGGCCGATCACGACACATGGGACGACGGACCATGGCCGATCACATGACACATGGGACGACGGACCATGGCCGATCACATGACACATGGGATGATGGACCATGGCCGATCACATGACACATGGGATGATGGACCATGGCCGATCACATGACACATGGGATGATGGACCATGGCCGATCACATGACACATGGGATGATGGACCATGGCCGATCACATGACACATGGAATGTACAGCACTCCTGCACTATGTATGCAGCACACTCCTGGTATTGATTGCCTCGTTAAGACCCTACCATGCTGGTGCAATTTGGCCCACACCTACCATTTGATGCAGTACGCTCTTCTCCCCGCCCATGGGAAGGTGGGGGTTGTAGTTAAATTCCTGCATCTATTCTCTGAGAAAAAATTCCCTGGTTAGTACTGATCCTTCCCTCCTGCAGCAGGTGCAGGTCCAAGAAAGACGTGCGCCCAACATCTCCTGAACCCGAAACTCAGTGGTAGAATTCTGGAGAGATCCGGAACAAGGGAGATGATTCTTAGAACAGAGGAGAGGTCAGAATGTAAACAAGGGGTCAAGGGTCAGTGTTGGGGATAGAGGGTCAGTGTTGGGGATAGAGGGTCAGTGTTGGGGTTACAAGGTCAGTGTTGGGGATAGAGAGTCAGTGTTGGGGTTACAGGATCAGTGTTGGGGTTACAGGGTCAGTGTTGGGGTTAGAGGGTCAGTGTTGGGGATAGAGGGTCAGTGTTGGGGATAGAGGGTCAGTGTTGGGGTTAGAGGGTCAGTGTTGGGGTTACAGGGTCAGTGTTGGGGATAGAGGGTCAGTGTTGGGGTTACAGGGTCAGTGTTGGGGTTACAAGGTTAGTGTTACTGATTGAGAGTGTTTTGGTTACAGGATCAGTGTTGGGGATCAGTGTTGGGGTTACAGATCAGTGTTGGGGATAGAGGGTCAGTGTTGGGGATAGAGGGTTAGTTTGGGGTTACAGGGTCAGTGTTGGGGTTAAAGGGTCAGTGTTGGGGTTACAAGGTTAGTGTTACTGATTGAGAGTGTTTTGGTTACAAGGTCAGTGTTGGGGTTACAGGGTCAGTGTTGGGGTTACAGGATCAGTGTTGGGTATAGAGGGTCAGTGTTGGGGTTACAGGGTCAGTGTTGGGGATAGAAAGTCAGTGTTGGGGTTACAGGGTCAGTGTTGGGGTATAGAGGGTCAGTGTTGGGCTTACAAGGTCAGTGTTGGGGTTACAGGGTCAGTGTTGGGGTTACAGGGTCAGTGTTGGGGTTACAGGGTCAGTGTTGGGGATAGAGGGTCAGTGTTGGGGATAGAGGGTCAGTGTTGGGGATAGAGGGTCAGTGTTGGGGATAGAGGGTTAGTGTTGGGGTTACAGGGTCAATGTTGGGGATAGAGGATCAGTGTTGGGGGGATAGAGGATCAGTGTTGGGGATAGAGGATCAGTGTTGGGGTTAAAGTGTCAGTGTTGGGGTTACAAGGTTAGTGTTACTGATTGAGAGTGTTTTGGTTACAGGGTCAGTGTTGGGGATAGAGGGTTAGTGTTGGGGTTACAGGATCAGTGTTGGGTATACAGGATCAGTGTTGGGTATAGAGGGTCAGTGTTGGGTATAGAGGGTCAGTGTTGGGTATAGAGGGTCAGTGTTGGGTATAGAGGGTCAGTGTTACTGATTGAGAGTGTTTTGGTTACAGGGTCAGTGTTGGGGGTTACAGGATCAGTGTTGGGTATAGAGGGTCAGTGTTAGGGTTACAAGGTCAGTGTTGGGGTCACACGGTCAGTGTTGGGGTCACATGGTCAGTGTTGGGGTCACATGGTCAGTGTTGGGGTTCACATGGCCAGTGTTGGGGACACAGGGTCAGTGTTGGGGACACAGGGTCAGTGTTGAAGTCACACGGTCAGTGTTGGGGTTACAGGGTCAGTGTTGGGGTCACATGGTCAGTGTTGAGGTCACATGGTCAGGTTTGGGGTTACAGGGTAAGTGTTGGGGTCACATGGTCAGTTTTGGGGTTACAGGGTAAGTGTTGGGGTCACACGGTCAGTGTTGGGGTCAGAGGGAGGGTTAGTCTGTGTTTTGTGATTGCTGCTTGTTCAGTCTACCTCCCTGTAACCCCAACACTAATTCTGTTCTTCTTACTGCTGGTTGCAGATCTAAGGCTGGTCTGTCTTCTAGATTATGCTGCCTGCCTGACCTCCACCCTTCTGCCTATGAACTTGGCTCTTCACTTTGGTCATCTTCCAGAACATCAGCTGACCCCGGCGGGGTAAACCCGAGAGCAGAGACTTGGGAGCTCTGAGCAGTAAAATCTGCAGCTCCATGGAAGGTTCTTGGTGAAGGTTCTATGGCCCCAGACAGAAACCCATTCCCTGCTGACCAACCTATATGAGACCTCCTGGGGACCACCAATAGCAAAGTGCAGAACTGGCTGAGAAAACCACAGAGGAGGAAAGTGTGTTATTCACAGCAACCAATCAGATTTCAGCTTCCAGTATGGAAAAATAACAGGAAATATTCAATTTATGAACAACACAGCTCTGCTGCCGGAGTGAATCTAAGGCGATCATCGAGTCCAGAGGTAGAGGACAGTCCCCATCCCGACAACGCTCACCCGGTCAGATAATAGGAAGATGTGAGTCCCTCCTCGGATCTTGTCCTCATATGGTCAGATGTCCGCCATTATCAGGAAGATATGAGTTCCTTCTCAGATATCGTCATCACATGGTCAGATGTCCGCCATTAATAGGAAGACATGAATCCCTCCTCAGATCTCATCCTCACATGGTAAGATGTCCGCCATTAATAGGAAGTTATGAGTTCCTTCTTAGATATCGTCCCTCACATGGTCAGATGACCACCATTGATAGGAAGATGAGTCCCTCCTCGGATCTCGTCCTCACATGGTCAGATGTCCGCCATTAATAGGAAGTTATGAGTTCCTTCTCAGATATCGTCCTCACATGGTCAGATGACCACCATTGATAGGAAGATATGAATCCCTCCTCAGATCTCATCCTCACATGGTCAGATGTCCGCCATTAATAGGAAGACATGAATCCCTCCTCAGATCTCATCCTCACATGGTAAGATGTCCGCCATTAATAGGAAGTTATGAGTTCCTTCTTAGATATCATCCTCACATGGTCAGATGACCACCATTGATAGGAAGATGAGTCCCTCCTCGGATCTCGTCCTCACATGGTCAGATGTCCGCCATTAATAGGAAGTTATGAGTTCCTTCTCAGATATCGTCCTCACATGGTCAGATGACCACCATTGATAGGAAGATATGAATCCCTCCTCAGATCTCATCCTCACATGGTCAGATGTCCGCCATTAATAGGAAGACATGAATCCCTCCTCGGATCTCGTCCTCACATGGTCAGATGTCCACCATTAATAGGAAGATATGACTCCCTCCTCGGATCTCGTCCTCACATGGTCAGATGTCCACCATTAATAGGAAGATATGACTCCCTCCTTGGATCTGGTCTTCACACCAGTGGCAGTCTCAAGGATCCCTCTACAGTCTGATAATTATAAAACACCTCCAATTTGATTGGACAGTCTGATTCCTCCGGTGTGAAGGTGACGGTGGATGTACAGTTGGTGCCGTCCTGTCTGTTCTCTATTTCTCCATCAATAGAATACATTCCTGTATACCAGGAGAACTCCGCACTGTCCGCCTGACACTCTTCAATGTATGCTACAAGAGTGACCTCCTCCCCCACCCGGGGGCGCTCCGTCACACATTTAATCTCCCGTATATGGAACTTCTTCTTCGGTCCTGTGGAGGGAAGAACATTGTCATTATTGGCGAGCCAGCCATGATGGGTCTGATGTCAGGTACATACTCAGCTTCTCTTCAACCCCCTCCTTCCCCAGCAGCACATACTCACCTTTACTCCACCAGGGGGTGCAGAACAACCTGTACTTCCAGGGATGGAAGAGCATGTGACCCACACCATGTGGTAGTGTTGGGCCAATCACCAAGGACCAGAGCTGTCACATGGGGGGAGTGTATACTACGACTTGAAGGCCTCGGAGCTTATATGGCTTCTCCTGCTGCTGGTGGCTGGGCGGGGTGGTGGGGGTGGGGAGTATGTACTGCTGATGGGGGAGGGGGTTGAGGGGAACTTGTTGCGTTGCACACTGCGCAGGTACGGACGGCTCACTTGAAGGAACAATCCCGATATTTTGAGAAGCAGGATGAGGAAATTGTTGGCTTTGTGAACATTTATGGCCTTTGTATGGGATGTCCTGAAATCTGATCACATGACTGCCTGCCTACATGGAATGGTGTCATGTGACCAGAGTGGGAGGAGCCAGGAAGATAAGTGGTGAGGTTGTGACACACATTGCACAGTTGGGAAATATTAACCCTTTGTGTGGAGACAGCCCTCCATTGTGTCTGCAGTCACCATGTGGTCCTCGGAAGGTCAGCATGTTATATCTGACAGCCAAGTCCGGATTTGGCAGGACACACAATGGGAGGAGCATCTGCCGGAGTCCTGGAATGTGAAAACTGCAATACTGAACCAATGGGGGAAAACTTTCTTCAGGAAATCTATGTTTATTTGTAAAACAACAAAAAAAAGGATTCCCAGAGCACTATGTGTGACCTAATGGGAGCTCGGCTGTGGATGCCTCTCAGATACCCTCCCCTTGGTGAAAACGGAAGGTGAAGCCTTATGGAGGTACAACCATAGCGCTGGGGGGGGGGGTCACAGCTCTGGGGGGTGGAGTCACATCCCTAGAGGGGAGGGCTCTCACCTATAGAGGGAGAGGAGTCACAACTTTGGAGGGGGAGGAGTCTCAACTCTGGAGGGGAGGAGTCACAACCTTGGAGGAGGAATCATAGCTCTGGAGTGTAGGAGACACAACTTTGGAGGGGGAAGAGTCACAGCTCTGGAGGGGTAGGAATCACAGCCCTGGAGGGGAGGAGTCACAACCTTTGAGGGGGAGGAGTCACAACCTTGGAGATGGAAAAGTCACAGCTCTGGAGGGGGGAGAAGTCACAACCCTGGAGGGGGAGAAGTTACAACCTTGGAGGGGGAGGAGTCACAACCTTGGAGGGGGAGGAGTCACAACCTTGGAGGGGGAGGAGTCACAACCTTGGAGGGGGAGGAGTCACAACCTTGGAGGGGGAGGAATCATAGCTCTGGAGGGGGAGGAGGCACAACTCTGGAGAAGTCACAACTTTGGAGGGGGAGGAGTCACAGTTCTGGAGGGGGAGGAGTCACAGCTCTGGAGGGGGAGGAATCACAGCTCTGGAGGGGGAGGAGTCACAGCTCTGGAGGGGGAGGAGGCTCAACCTTGTAGGGGGAGGAGTCTCAAGTCTGGAGGTGGAGTCACAGCTCTGGAGGGGGAGGAGTCACAACCTTGGAGGGGAGGAGTCACAGCTCTGGATGGGAGGAGGCACAACTCTGGAGGGGAGGAGGCACAGCTCTGGAGGGGGAAAGGCACAGCTCTGGAGGGGGGGAGTCACAGCTCTGCAGGGAGGAGGCACAACTCTGGAGGGGAGGAAGCACAACCTTGGAGGGGAGGAGTCACAGCTCTGCAGGGGGAGAAGTCACGGCTCTGCAGAGGGGGGAGTCTCAGCTCTGCAGGGGGAAAGTCAACTTTGGAGAAAGAAGAATCACAGCTTTTGTGGGGGGGTCACAGCTCTTGTCGGGCAGGAGTCACAGCTGTGGAGGGGGAGGAGTCACAGCTCTGGTGGGGGAGGAGTCACAGCTCTGGAGGAGAGAGGTCACAGCTCTGCAGCGGGAGAAGTAACAGCTGTGAAGGGGGGGTGGTAGTCACAGCTCCCCATATCCCTCTTATGTGTAAGTCCCCCTGTGCCTGTTAGGGGTACAGGGTGATCTGTCCTAATATTGGGGGGGGGGGGTTGTGGATTGTTTGGTGTCATGTGGTTGCATCCCATTGTTCTATTGTGTGTCTGGCTTGGGAGCAAATTATTATGGGATGTATGTGTTTATGTGTATTGGCTTGGTGGGGGGGGTGTCTCCAGCAGCCCTCCCTCCTGATGGGACTGTCTGCTGGTGTGTCTCTTGTTACTAAATGTAGATTGCCCCGCCCTGTGTCATTATGCAGGGAGGGGGGTTGCCCCGCCCTGTGTCATTATGCAGTGAGGGGGGTTGCCCCGCCCTGTGTCATTATGCAGTGAGGGGGTTGCCCCGCCCTGTGTCATTATGCAGGGAGGGGGGATTGCCCCGCCCTGTGTCATTATGCAGGGAGGGGGGATTGCCCCGCCCTGTGTCATTATGCAGGGAGGGGGGATTGCCCCGCCCTGTGTCATTATGCAGGGAGGGGGGATATTCCCGAGTGTATATATCTTGTATCTGTGTTCAAATAAAGGATTCTATTTCCTGGATTACTTCAGGATTGGTGTCGTCTAGTCTTGTATGGTCGGCTGTGGTGTCAGTGGTCGGTGGTCGGACGGGAAGCGGTATTCTAACGGAAGTACCCAACTGCAGTCTGGGGTCGGTTCCGTTACAATTACCATGACATTGTGGTGTGACCAAGCCCTGAGCTTCAGCTACTGAGCTCTGTGAACAGCAGACTGAAGGAAATCATGTGAAACTAAGGCGGAGCCCCGAGGTGCGCCCCCTGCTGGGCAATCTGGGAAGTGTCTGTTCATAGTTCATGTTTTATTCCAGATGGTATTCTTCAGTCCTGACCATAATACAGAAGAAACACTATAAACCCCTCCCCCATCCCCTCCCTCCACCCCCATCCCCTCCCCCACCCCCAGACGGATCATCTCACCGGATTCTGGGGCTTCGCCCATCTTGGTAGAATCTCCTATAAAACAAGAGAAAAGTTTACTAATAAAGAGAAGAGAAATCATCCCACAGCAATAAATGTATTGGATCCATGAACATCAGAGCCCCGAAATATATCCCGGCCCCCGCACTGTTCTCAATGTCCTCAGGATGGGAGACCTGGGGGCCCGCCATAGTCTGGGGCCACAGCGACATGACAAAGTGGACCTGAGTTCAAAGGTGAAGATTTGCTGCTCTATAGGGAATGCCTAAGCAGAATGAATTCTTGAATTCCTCCTGAAAATACCTGTATAGTTCCTGTACCTAGGCACTCCTGATAGCAGGGCACTACCTGTGCCTAGGCACTCCTGATATCACGGCACTTCCTTCCTGTACTTAGGCACTCCTCATATCAGGGCACTTCCTGTGCCTAAGCACTCCTGATAGCAGGGCACTTCCTGTACCTAGGCACTACTGATAGCAGGGCACTTCCTGTACCTAGGCACTGCTGATAGCAGGGCACTTCCTGTACCAAGGCACTCCTCATATCAGGGCACTTCCTGTACCTAGGCACTCCTCATATCAGGGCACTTCCTGTACCTAGGCACTCCTCATATCAGGGCACTTCCTGTGCCCAAGCACTCCTGATATCAGGGCACTTCCTGTACCTGGGCACTCCTCATATCAGGGCACTTCCTGTGCCCAAGCACTCCTGATATCAGGGCACTTCCTATACCTAGGCACTCCTGATATGAGGGCACTTCCGTTCCATAACTTCATAGCTGTATATTTGCAGTGTGAGATCATCCAAGTCCTGCTACCTCTGACTGCTGGTCTCAGATTTGGTGATGTCACTACTGTGCTGTGTGTTTGCCTTGCTGGAGGGGAAGCTGTTCCTGAGGAACTGCAGTGGAAGGATCTCCCTACTTCTACTTCATCCATTTTGTGGATCTGTGCTTCCACTGCCTCTATCATTACCCCTCCAGCCATCAGGGGGCAGCCTGGACAGGTAGAAGCAAAGCCTGCCTCTACCAAGATGGCTGCCTCCACATAGACATTGTGCAGAGCAAGAGAATCAGTAATGGAGAAAAGATCAGCTGCAGGGAGATCACAGGAGACAGTGATGGCCGGTCCGTTGTCCTCTGCTTTCACCACACAGGTCCTCTATAAGAACACCTTTCCCCATGACTACTATTCCCTCTGTGAAAAGCGGCATGGCCAGCACCGTTCTCCTCCTCCTCCTGTCTGCATTCCACCGGAAAGTGTACATGGAGCGCCCCCTCTGAACATCCCTATCCCTGGAGTCTAATGAATCCTCCACCTAATCCTATTGGGTGAGGGTGATCAGATGTACATGGAGCGCCCCCTCTGGACATCCTTATCCCTGGACTAGTCTAATGAATCCTCCACCTAATCCTATTGGCTGAGAGTAATCAAATGTACATAGAACGCCCCTCTGGACATCCCTATCCCTGGACTCCTCTAATGAATCCTCCACCTAATCCTATTGGCTGAGAGTAATCAAATGTACATAGAACGCCCCCTCTGGACATCCCTATCCCTGGACTCCTCTAATGAATCCTCCACCTAATCCTATTGGGTGAGGGTGATCAGATGTAGATGTAGCGCCCCCTCTGGACATCCCTATCCCTGGACTTGTCCAATGAATGACATATGAACACATCATACATATGAAGGATACACGGGGATCTCACCTGTCAGGTGCAGAGTATATCTCTTCTCTCGGACCATCTTGGACTGACTGTGTGTCACCTCACACCGGATGGACGTTTTATCATCGGTCATCTTCGGGGTGAAGGTCAGCGTGCTGGAAGATTTATACAGACCGTCCGATCCGATCTCTGGATCCAATATTGTCACCTCAGATTGGGGGAAGGTGCTGAACTCCTTAAACCATTTTATTTGTAGGTCTCGGGGGGAGAATCCGGATATTGTTACCTTGAATGAGGCTTTCTGATTGGCTGCCACTCTCATTGGATGGACGATAATGTCCGATAATGTGGGCGGTCTCTCTGTAATGATAAATATATAACAGGTCAGGTTGTGGGGAATCGAAGACCAGATCATGTCAGTAGAGCTGGTCGACCCTCTCAGCAATGTAGAGGAAAATTCATCTTAGAGGTTTTATTTTTGTTGTCTTTTATCCACCACCGAGAACCCAGAATTCCCGATACATCACCCTGACAACTCAGACAGTTCACAGTGCAGAAACCAGACCCAGATCTGCAGAGAGGTCACCCTGGAGGATGTCTCCATGGCATTTACCCAAAGCAACCTCATCAATACTGGAATCACATTGATGACCCCAAGATGATCAGTCCTGATTGGCTGCTGCACATTGTTCTCTGTCCTATTAGATCAAACATTTCAAAGTCATGTCAGTGTATATGTCAGTGCCATAGTCCAGGATAGAATGGGTGCCCACGGCATGGTCCAGGATGGAATGGGTGCCCACGGTATGGTCCAGGATGGAATGGGTGCCCACGGCATGGTCCAGGATGGAATGGGTGCCCACAGCATGGTCCAGGAGGAAATGGGTGCCCAGGGCATGGTCCAGGATGGAATGGGTGCCCACGGTATGGTCCAGGATGGAGTGTATGTCAAGGGCATAGTCCAAGATGGGGTGTATGTCAAGGGCATGGTCCAGGATGGAGTGCATGCCAGTGCCATGGTCCAGGATGGAGTGTGTGCCCCCGGAATCTTACATTTCCTCAGGTAGATGGGTTGGCTCCCTGCAGTCTGGCTGTGTTGCAGTAGGCATGGGGTTTATGGCAGGACGCACACTGCTACACTTGATCAATAAACTGTGAGCAGCACAGTGGCTAAGTGGTTCGCACTTCTGCCTGGCAGTACTAGGGTCGCCGGTTCAAATCCTAACCACGGAACCACCTGCCTGGAGTTTGCATGTTCTCCCTGTGCCTGCGTGGGTTTCCTCTGGGTACTCAGGTTTCCTCCCACACTCCAAAGACATGCTGGTAGGTGAATTGGCTCCTGTCTAAATTGTCCCTAGTATGTGTATGTATAAATGTGAGTTAGGGACCTTAGATTGTACGCTCCTTGGGGGCGGGGACTGATGTGAATGTACAATATATATATGGAAAGTGCGGAGTACATTGATGGCGCTATATAAGTACCTGAAATAAATACATTGTGTATTGTACTGTTACTGTCTTGTCTCATGTTCGGTCCCCCCCCCGCTATTGTACAGCGCTGAGCAAACCCTTTGGCGCTATATAAATACTGTATAATAATAATAATAATTGGAGTGATGATAAGCTGGCCAGAGAATGATTGACATTCAGCCGCTTCCAACCAAATTTCAATCAGTGGGTGGCTGTTCTTGCTTTAGATCAGCTTCTGTGGAAGGGACTCCCACTATCAGTAAACAATGTCCCAGGAGGAGGGATTCCTCCATCCACCTTGTTTGTGTGGATGGAGGAATCTGTTTTCTCATTCAGCCTGTTAGGAACACGCAGAGTGGATGCTGAACAGTCCAATGGAGAGTCGGAAGGCTAAAGCACTTGTTGGCGATATCTTCTGTTTCTAATGACCTCTGGGAGGGACTTTCTTGCAGGTTTTGTTCTCCGGAGAAATAAAAGTGGCCAAGAGGCCCTTAAATGTACTTTTGACGTCTGGACTGCCTCTCTGCGAGCTCTACGCTTGAAGCTGAATGATGTGATTTGGAACAAGTGGATCTCACTAAAGGTGGCTGGTCAGCAGCAATGGGCTAATATAACTCAGCGGGAAATGGTTAGACTGATGGAGGTTCAGGTGACTGCTTTGGCTTAGGCAGCAGAGAGGGACTGACAGACTCTTCATCAGGTGGTACAATAGATTGGCCCAAGGTCTGGAGGCCTCTGTCGGCACCCAAGGTCTGGAGGCCTCTGTCGGCACCCAAGGTCTGGAGGCCTCTGTCGGCACCCAAGGTCTGGAGGCCTCTGTCGGCACCCAAGGTCTGGAGGCCTCTGTCGGCACCCAAGGTCTGGAGGCCTCTGTCGGCACCCAAGGTCTGGAGGCCTCTGTCGGCACCCAAGGTCTGGAGGCCTCTGTCGGCACCCAAGGTCATCCTGGTGTAATAAGAGAAAGCCAATACTTGCAGAAAACGATGTCACTGGAGTCCTATCTAACCACTTTGGAATGGACAGCCAACGCACGGCCTGGTCCGAAAAGCAGTGAGTTGGACTGCTTTTCCATTTCCTTTCCAGGGAACTCCAGAAAACGTCTTTGGACCTGGTCCTAGAGGAGACCAAAGACTATGAGAAACTGAAAGTTCAAATACTCTGATGGCTGGGGGTGATCACTTGTGTATGTCGCTGGACCCACCAATAAGTGGCTTAAACTAGAGATTCCCACTTTGGACCAAATTGTGGAATGGATCACAGCGAAGTGTTCTGTGGGTGCTGGCGTCAATTCTGAGCCCACACCCTTGAGAGAGTATCTTTGGTGGACATCAACTGACTCTTAAGACACCTAGCCTTGGGGATCTAGCATCACCTGTTCTCATGCAGGACCATCCGCTAGCAGCTTCACATGACATAGATCCAGCTACTATCTCCTCTACGCTGTGTTCCATTCCTCCAAGAACCCGCTATTGGCCTACACCTCTCAGGTACACCTACCTTCCCCTGTGGGGTATCCACCTGAAGGGTCTACATCACCGTGATGCCTTGTGACATATACTGTACATGTGGCACCCTCTGCAATACATGACTTAGATAATACTATGCTGCGTACATCAAATATCTGCAGGTTGGACCTCTGACCCCGGAAGAATGGGGTCTGCGCCATCATGGGCTCACTCTCAGGGAGAACTTTGTATGTATCGTGTATATTTCCCAGCAATGTCTGTGTGTTTTATTACTAATCCTGTTATTATTCAATTGGAGAATATAGGAAACGCACCTGGAAGGCTCAAGACACTGTCTTTTGTGATAGGCTGCATGCCCCTTTGTGTCACACTGCAGGTATAGACCTTCCCATAATCCTGAGCTGTAGGTGTGATCGTCAGAGAACAGGACAGAACGTCTCCGCTGCCTCGGGTCACTCTCTGCTGGTGTTTCCCCAGTTCTCTTCCTCTCTCTGACCAGGTGACCTCAGGGGTGTGTCCGGGATCACAGCCAGCCACATCACAGCGCATGGTCACAGGACGTCCATAATCCGGTATACGGGGGTCACTGGAGATCTCACTGAGCACATAGAGACCTGTGGAGGCAGAATATAATACATTCCATAATAACTGACCTTTACAGATATCACAGCCAACAATATCACACATATCAGGTCTGGCTCTGTGATCTCCCTGCAGACAGAGGAGGAAGAGGTGGAGGCAGTGAGCTCTCTGCAGAGAGAGGAGGAAGAGATGGAGGCAGTGGTCTCTCTGCTGCAGAGAGAGGAAGGAAGAGGTGGAGGCAGTGGTCTCTCTGCAGAGAGAGGAGGAAGAGGTGGAGGCAGCGAGTCTCTCTGCAGAGAGAGGAGGAAGAGTGGAGGCAGTGGTCTCTCTGCAGAGAGAGGAGGAAGAGGTGGAGGCAGTGGTCTCTCTGCAGACAGAGACAGAAGAGGTGGAGGCAGTGGTCTCTCTGCAGACAGACAGAGAGGAAGAGGTGGAGGCAGTGGTCTCTCTGCAGGCAGAGGAGGAAGAGGTGGAGGCAGTGATCTCTCTGCAGACAGAGACGGAAGAGGTGGAGGCAGTGGTCTCTCTGCAGACAGAGAGGAAGAGGTGGAGGCAGTGGTCTCTCTGCAGACAGAGGAGGAAGAGGTGGAGGCAGTGGTCTCTCTGCAGACAGAGGAGGAAGAGGTGGAGGCAGTGGTCTCTCTGCAGACAGAGGAGGAAGAGGTGGAGGCAGTGGTCTCTCTGCAGACAGAGAAGGAAGAGGTGGAGGCAGTGGTCTCTCTGCAGACAGAGAAGGAAGAGGTGGAGGCAGTGGTCTCTCTGCAGACAGAGGAGGAAGAGGTGGAGGCAGTGGTCTCTCTGCAGACAGAGAGGAAGAGGTGGAGGCAGTGGTCTCTCTGCAGACAGAGGAGGAAGAGGTGGAGGCAGTGGTCTCTCTGCAGACAGAGGAGGAAGAGGTGGAGGCAGTGGTCTCTCTGCAGACAGAGGAGGAAGAGGTGGAGGCAGTGGTCTCTCTGCAGACAGAGGAGGAAGAGGTGGAGGCAGTGGTCTCTCTGCAGGCAGAGGAGGAAGAGGTGGAGGCAGGCAGTGATCTCTCTGCAGACAGAGGACGGAAGAGGTGGAGGCAGTGAGCTCTCTGCAGACAGAGAGGAAGAGGTGGAGGCAGTGAGCTCTCTGCAGACAGAGGAGGAAGAGGTGGAGGCAGTGGTCTCTCTGCAGACAGAGGAGGAAGAGGTGGAGGCAGTGGTCTCTCTGCAGACAGAGGAGGAAGAGGTGGAGGCAGTGGTCTCTCTGCAGACAGAGGAGGAAGAGGTGGAGGCAGTGGTCTCTCTGCAGACAGAGGAGGAAGAGGTGGAGGCAGTGGTCTCTCTGCAGACAGAGGAGGAAGAGGTGGAGGCAGTGGTCTCTCTGCAGACAGAGGAGGAAGAGGTGGAGGCAGTGGTCTCTCTGCAGACAGAGGAGGAAGAGGTGGAGGCAGTGGTCTCTCTGCAGACAGAGGAGGAAGAGGTGGAGGCAGTGGTCTCTCTGCAGACAGAGGAGGAAGAGGTGGAGGCAGTGGTCTCTCTGCAGGCAGAGGAGGAAGAGGTGGAGGCAGTGATCTCTCTGCAGACAGAGACGGAAGAGGTGGAGGCAGTGAGCTCTCTGCAGACAGAGATGGAAGAGGTGGAGGCAGTGAGCTCTCTGCAGACAGAGGAGGAAGAGGTGGAGGCAGTGGTCTCTCTGCAGGCAGAGGAGGAAGAGGTGGAGGCAGTGGTCTCTCTGCAGACAGAGGAGGAAGAGGTGGAGGCAGTGGTCTCTCTGCAGACAGAGGAGGAAGAGGTGGAGGCAGTGAGCTCTCTGCAGACAGAGGAGGAAGAGGTGGAGGCAGTGGTCTCTCTGCAGACAGAGAAGGAAGAGGTGGAGGCAGTGGTCTCTCTACAGACAGAGAAGGAAGAGGTGGAGGCAGTGGTCTCTCTGCAGACAGAGGAGGAAGAGGTGGAGACAGTGGTCTCTCTGCAGACAGAGACAGAAGAGGTGGAGGCAGTGATCTCTCTGCAGACAGAGACAAAAGAGGTGGAGGCGGTTGTCTCTCTGTAGACAGAGAAGGAAGAGGTGGAGGCAGTGGTCTCTCTGCAGACAGAGGAGGAAGAGGTGGAGGCAGTGGTCTCTCTGCAGACAGAGGAGGAAGAGGTGGAGACAGTGGTCTCTCTGCAGACACAGGAGGAAGAAATGGAGGCAGTGAGCTCTCTGCAGACAGAGGAGGAAGGTGTGGAGGCAGTGAGCTCTCTGCAGAGGTGGGGTGGATAGGGGTTGAGGTGGGGTGGACGCAGCTTGAGACGGGGTGGATGCAGCTTGAGGCGGGGTGGAAGAAGGTTGAGATGGGGTGGACTCAGCTTGAGGCGGGGTGGACGGAGGTTGAGGGTGGAGTTGGCGGAGGTTGAGGTAGGGTGGATAGAGGTTGAGGTGGAGTGGGCGGAGGTTGAGGTGGGGTGGGAGGAGGTTGAGGTGGGGTGGAGGAGGTTGAGGTGGGGTGGGCGGAGGTTGAGGTGGGGTAGATAAGAGGTTGAGGTGGGGTGGATAGAGGTTGAGGGTGGGGTGGATAGAGGTTGAGGTGGGGTGGATAGAGGTTGAGGTGGGGTGGATAGAGGTTGAGGTGAGGAGGACGGAGTTTAAGGTGAGATGGGGTGGGCGGAGTTTAAGGTGGGGTGGGAAGAGGTTGAGGTGGGGTGGATAGAGGTTGAGGTGGGGTGGAAAGAGGTTGAGGTGGAGTGGATGGAGGTTGAGGTAGGGTGGATAGAGGTTGAGGTGGGGTGGATAGAGGTTGAGGTGGGGTGGATAGAGGTGGGGTGGATAGAGGTTGAGGTGGGGTGGATAGAGGTGGGGGGTGGATAGATGTTGAGGGTGGGGTGGACAGAGGTTGAGGTGGGGTGGACGGAGGTTGCGGTGGAGTGGGCGGAGGTTGAGGTGGGGATGATAGATGGGAAGGGGGGTGGGGAGAGGTTGAGGTGGGGTGGACAGAGGTTGAGGTGGGGTGGACGGAGGTTGAGGTGGGGTGGACGGAGGTTGAGGTGGGGTGGACGGAGGTTGGGTGGGGTGGACGGGGTGGAGGTTAGTGGAGTGGACGGAGGTTGAGGTGGGGTGGACGGAGGTTGAGGTGGAGTGGACGGAGGTTGAGGTGGGGTGGACGGAGGTTGAGGTGGGGTGGACGGAGGTTGAGGTGGGGAGTGGACGGAGGTTGAGGTGGGGTGGACGGAGGTGGAGTGAGGTTGAGGTGGGGTGGACGGAGGTTGAGGTGGGGTGGACGGAGGTTGAGGTGGGTGGACGGAGGTTGAGGGGGGTGGACGGAGGTTGAGGTGGGGTGGACGGAGGTTGAGGTGGGGTGGACGGAGGTTGAGGTGGGGGTGGACGGAGGTTGAGGTGGAGTGGACGGAGGTTGAGGTGGGGTGGACGGAGGTTGAGGTGGAGTGGACGGAGGTTGAGGTAGGGTGGACGGAGGTTGAGGTGGGGTGGACGGAGGTTGAGGTGGGGTGGACGGAGATTGAGGCGGGGTGGACGGAGATTGAGGCGGGGTGGACGGAGGTTGAGGCGGGGTGGACGGGTTGAGGCGGGGTGGACGGAGGTTGAGGGGGGGTGGACGGAGGTTGAGGCGGGGTGGACGGAGGTTGAGGCGGGGTGGATAGAGGCCGGAGGGAGGGACCATACCTTTAAAATTGATTAATGTCTTCTTTGTAAAACGTTTTGTGTGATGTCTGACGTCCAGACTGATTTCAGAGAGATGATGTTTAGTGTCCGGAATGAGTGTCAGCTCTGTGGTTCCGAAGAACATCTTGGATTCCGGGTTTTGCTGGACGTTCTCTGTCCAGTCCGGCTCAGACAATTCCTTTGCACTCCATGTCCACTGAATGCCAGGTTCCCCGGGATACATGTCACTGATCATACAGGAAAAGGTCACCGGCTGTCCAGGCTGGGGCTGTGCAGGGACACACTGGATGTCCCCCAGAGTGGGCGGAGATACTGCAAATATAGAGGACAGCCGTGTTATACAAAGTATTCCTTTCACTGACATCTATATCACCATCTACACAGTGTGACATTTGTGGGTGATATCATACAATACATACATGTTATATACATCATTGTACCGGGTTGGTGTATATAGTGTATACCCCTGTGGGTGATATCATACAATACATACATGTTATATATATATAGCTCGTTGCACAGGGTCAGTACATACAAGAAGCGGGGTGTTCTATGTCCCCCCCATATCTCTTTGCTTCATATAAAGGAGGGGTGACGGTCTGTATGTCCTCTTGGGGGTACAGCTGGTAGGGTGAGATTATTGGGGTTCACCCGCTGAATATAGAGACGAGGAAGATTATAAATGGACTTGTCACAATATAATGCCTCGAAGGAACATGAGATCCTGATCCCCCGCACTCAGCTCAGGTCAGTGACTACACCGCTAGGGCTGCCAACATTCACCCAAAGATCTGCATGAGAAACCGTAGATGGAAGCTGCCCATGCTCGGCTCCTGAGTCAGGCAGTGACAGTTTACATCAGATGGTTCTCACACAGGAATATACTCAACTGAACCCAACAGACATGGGGGAGCATCCAGCAGCCCCATGGGGAATCCAGCAGCCCAGCCGGCCATGGGGAATCCAGCAGCCCCATGGGGAATCCAGCAATCCAGCACCATACTGGCCATGGTACAACCGATATGAATGAGGATGAAGGTGTGAGATGTAGCAATGACACGTATCCCCCATCATACCCGACCCGAGGAAAAACATCAACCAATCAGACTTCAGCTTTATTGTTTGTTTAAGTAATAAAAGACTTGAATCTGATTGGTTCTTATGAGTATCACAGACACTGAACATCTTATCATATAACATGGGGCCCAGCGATATTCCCAGCACTCACATATCTCTCTCAGGGTCCAGGTCACGTGTGTCGGTCTCGATAGGCTGACATGCTGAACCCGACATCGGAAATCCTTCCCTAGATCCTTCACTGTTACCGTGTAACTACAAGTGCTGGAGGTATGATAGAGTCCCTCATTGCCTGGGAGGGGGTCAGTGGTGTATGATGGTAACATGACGTCATCTTCCGTGTACCATGTGACTTGTATGTTCGGCGGGTAAAAAGGAATGAATCTTACAGCGCAGATCCAACTTCTCACCGACACAGACATTGTCCTGACCCTTCACTATGGAGTCCAGGGAGGGAACCGCTGAAAGAAAGAAAGACAGTGAGATGTATGAGAATGAGAGCCTCTGCTTCTTCCCCCTTCACCCCCATCAACCTCTTCCCCCTTCACCCCCATCAACCGCTTCCCCCTTCACCCCCATCAACCTCCTCCCCCTTCACCCCCATCAACCTTCCCCCTTTCACCCCATCAACCTCTTCCCCCATCAACCGCTTCCCCCTTCACCCCCATCAACCTCCTACCCCCCCCTTCACCCCCATCAACCTCTTCCCTCTTCACCCCCCATCAACCTCCTCCCCCTTCACCCCCATCAACTGCTTCCCCCTTCACCCCCATCAACCTCTTCCCCCTTCACCCCCATCAACCGCTTCCCCCTTCACCCCCATCAACTCTTCCCCCTTCACCCCCATCAACCTCCTTCCCCCTTCACCCCCATCAACCTCTTCCCCCTTCACCCCCATCAACCTCCCCTTCCCCCCCCCCCATCAACCTCTTCCCCCCTTCACCCCCATCAACCTCCTCCCCCTTCCCCCCCCATCAACCCTTCCCCCTTCACCCCCATCAACCTCCTCCCCCTTCACCCCCATCAACCTCCCCCCCTTCAGCCCCATCAACCTCCTCCCCCTTCACCCCCATACCCAACCGCTTCCCCCTTCACCCCCATCAACCTCCCCTTCACCCCCATCCACCGCTCACCCCTCCCCCTTCACCCCCATCCCCCTCCTACCCTTCACCCCCTAAACCCTTCCCCCTTCACCCCATCAACCTCCTACCCCCCCCCCCCCATCAACCTCCTCCCCCCCTTCACCCCCATCAACCTCCTCCCCCTTCACCCCCATCCCCCCCTCCTCCCTCTTCACCCACCATCAACCGCATCCCCTTTCACCCCCATCAACCTCCTCCCCCCCTCCACCCCCCATCAACCTTCTCCCCCTTCACCCCCATCAACCTTCTCCCCCTTCACCCCCATCAACCTCCTCCTCCTTCCCTCTTCCCCCTCCCCCTCACCATCAACCTCCCCCATCAACCACTTTCCCCTTCTATCTCCCCCCCCTTCACCCCCATCCAACCTCCTCCCCCTTCACCCCCCCATCAACCAATTCCCCCTTCAGCCCCATCAACCTCTTCCCCCTTTTCCCCCAATCAACCTCCTCCCCTTTCCCACCACCCCACCATCAACCTCCTCCCCCACCCCCGTCAACCGCTTCCCCTTCCCCCTTCTATCTCTTCCCCCTTCACCCCCATCAACCTCCCCCCCCCCCTTTACCCCTCAACCAATTCCCCCTTCACCTCCAATCAACCTCCTCTCCTTTCACCACCATCAACCTCTTCCCCCTTCACCCCCATCAACCGCTCCCCCCTTCTATCTCTTCCCCCTTCACCCCCATCAACCTCCTCCCCTTTCCCCCCCATCAACCTCCTCCCCCTTCACCCCCATCAACCAATTCCCCCTTCACCCCCATCAACCGCTTCCCCCTTTTCCCCCAATCCCCCTCCCCTTTCACCCCCATCAACCTCCTCCCCCTTCACCCCCATCAACCTCATCCCCCTTCACCCCCATCAACAGCTTACCCCCTTCTATCTATTCCCCCCCCTTCACCCCCCCATCAACCTCTTCCCCCTCCCCCCCCCCAACAGCTTCCCCCTTCAACCTTTTCTCCCCCCCCCCCTTCAACCTCTCTCCCCTTCACCCCCATCCACCTCTTCACCCTTCTCCCCCCATCTGCCTCTCCCTCTTCACTCCCTTCTACCTCTCCCCCCATCTGCCTCTTCCTTATTCTCCCCCCATATGCCTCTTCCCCCTTCTCCCCCATCAGCCTCTTCTCCCTTCTCCCCCCATCTACCTCTTTCCCCGTCTCTCCCCTCAACCACTTCCCCCTTCACCCCATCTACTGCTTCCCTTATCTCCCCCCTCCCCTCAACCTCTTCTTCCTTCTCCCCCCATCAGCCTCATCCCTCTTCTCCCCCCCATCAACCTCTTCTCCCTTCACCCCCATCAACCTCTTCTCCCTTCACCCCCATCAACCTCCTCTCCTTCACCCCCATCTACCGCTTCCCTCTTCAGCCCCATCAACTTCTTCCCCCCCTTTCCTCAACCTTTTCCCCCTTCTCCCTCCCCATCAAGCTCTTCTCCCTTCACCCCCATCTACCTCTTCCTTCTTCGCCGCTATCTACTCTTTCCCCTTCACCCCCATCAACCTCTACCCACCTTCAGCCCAATCAACCCCCCCCCCATCTATCAGCCCCATCAACCTCTCCCCCCCATCTATCATCCCCATCAACCTCTTCCCCTTCTCCTCCCATCTGCCTCTTCCTTCCTCTCCCCTCATCTGCCTCTTCCCCCTTCACCCCCATCTACCTCTTTCCCCTTCTCTCCCCTCAACTTTGTCACCTTTTTCTCCCCTCAACCCCGTCACCCTTCTCCCCCCCTCAATCTCGTCCCCCTTTTATTTCCTCTTCTTCCTTCTCCTTCTCCACCCCATTTTTCTATTCTACCCCTGGCTGCCTCTACCCCCTCCTCGTCCTTCATCCTCTACTCTTTCCCTCCTCTCCTCCTCCATACCCCTTCTACCATTTCCCTTTCATTTATCTCCTTCTACCTTTCCTCCTCCATCATTCTTAACCCCTCACAGGCCTTGTGGTTCTTGATGAAACATCTGCTTATATGTGGTTGGCCAAAATGGCTGCCTGAGACCAAGTTGTAAAGAGTCTACAGACTTTGAGAGAATATAGAACTGTTATGTCCAATGATGAGTTTTCCATTACTCACCGGTCACATTGAGGATCTGCTCCCTTTCCTCCTGGTGATGTGTAGCAGGGTGGAAGGTTCTACAGATATACGTCGCTCCGTCATCTTCTGTCACCGTTGGTTTCATGGTCAGAGCACTGATAAAGCTGTAGGAGTTATCGTCATGTTCATGTTCCTTTAGAAAGTGTGAATATCTCTCCGTGTGAGTGGTGTCACTCCCAGCATTCCATGTCACCAGATCAGTGTCTTCGGTTGTCCTTGTCCCTCTTCAGCCAGGTGATGGACAAAGCTCGTGGTTTGAAGCCATTGATTGGACAGGTCAGTGTCAGCTGCTCCTCATGGATGACACGTTCTGGGCACATGATGGACAACAACTTGGGAGGGACTAAGTAAGGAAATGTAGAAATGTCATATAGAATGTATTCAGTAGATTTACAGCAATGCGGCAGATTACTGGTGTAGAGAGATCTCCGATGGTCGGGGAACTTTCATTTATATTCAACATTTACACCTTACCATCCTCCTGAACCCATCACACTTACACAGCAAGACCTTCACAAATGTGGAGTAAAGGAAACCGACCTCCACTGTCCACTCCCACCAATCAGACCTTCATCCTTACGGTGGATGTCAAACCCAAAGGGCCCGTCTACATATTTTGGTGCATTAATGTGCATTTTGTTGCAGATTAACATGCATTACTCTAAGGAAACCCACTAAAACGATGGACTGCCAATGCAACCAAAACATGCCAAAAAAAAAATCAATCTAAAGCGACATACTCCAACTCCATGCGTTATTGTGAGTTGTGCCGTACTGCAATGCAGGTTCGTTTCCTTCAAAATGAATGGCACTGCAATACATGTACTGAGCATTGCTGCAATGCAGATGTCTGATTGGGCCAAACCATGAGCTCCATCACAGAGATTTATAATCACTTCCTGTTCTGCTGACAATGCGTCCTCCAGAGAGGAAGTGAAGGAGAACCTGGAACAGTGACACAGACACGTCCCGGAATTCCCTGCACTGTTATAGAAGAGCACTTTTATTTCTTTGCTGTTGAGAGAGGAGAGCAGGAAAATCTTACAGGGGTTCTCACCTTACAGAGGTTCTGACCTTACAGGGGTTCTCACCTTACAGGGGTTTCTGACCTTACAGAGATTATGACCTTACAGGGGTTCTCACCTTACAGGGGTTCTGACCTTACAGAGATTATGACCTTACAGAGATTATGACCTTACAGGGGTTCTGACCTTTACAGAGGTTCTGACATTACAGGAGTTCTGACCTTACAGGGGTTCTGACCTTACAGGGTTCTGACCTACAGAAGTTCTGACCTCACAGAGGTTCTGACCTCACAGGGGTTCTGGCCTTACAGTAGTTCTGACCTTACAGGGGTTCTGACCTTTACAGAGGTTCTGACCTTACAGAAGTTCTGACCTCACAGAGGTTCTGACCTCACAGGGTTCTGACCTCACAGGGGTTCTGACCTTACAGGGGTTCTGGACCTTACAGGGGTTCTGACCTTACAGGGGTTCTGGCCTTACAGGGGTTCTGGCCTTACAGGGTTCTGACCTTTACAGAGGTTCTGACCTTACAGAGGTTCTGACCTCACAGAGGTTCTGACCTCACAGAGGTTCTGGCCTTACAAGGGTTCTGGCCTTACAGGGGTTCTGGCCTTACAGAGGTTCCGGCCTTACAGGGGTTCCGGCCTTGCAGAGGTTCTGGCTTTACAGGGGTTCCGGCCTTACCCAATCCATCTATAACTGAGAGAAGTTCTGGTTGGACATACTCTAAAGCCCAAACGTATTTTCCCATTTTGGATAGAACAGGGAAGGGTTATATCTGCTGTCGGTTTTTGCTGTGTGTAAAGGGAGATTACCGTTGGCTTCCTGTTCCATAGACTCAGCAGGAAGTCAGAGGATTTCTTTCCATTGTGAGGGAAATCCCGTCTCCAGCCGGCCACACACGGATACAGTTTTGTCCAATTACTGATGTAGCAGCCAGAACCGAGCAGGGTGCAAGCAGGTTAGAACTTAGGTGATGCCCCGGATGGGAGGGGATGGGTTAGATTACTTTCCCGGTTCTTGGTTTTGGTGGGATGTTGATGAGCCCGGCCCATCGAGCATGTGCTATAAAAGGGGACCGTGGTCCGGAGCCCGGAGCTCCAATATAGCCCTTCTGAGTGTCCTCTGAGAAGCCATATGTTAACAGAGACCAGCGATGTGTCCCAGGAGCAAAGGGGATCCTGCTACAGGAGGCTGGGCCCTGAAGATGTAGGAGCCAATGCTGGGGGAGATGTATCCCTGAAGATTCCAGCTGCTGGAGCCATACATGGACCAACACTTGACCGACTTGTAATTGTCATGGTCGGGCACCAAGACCAGTTGCTGTAGAAGTAGCGGGACTTCCACTAACTAGCAGGATAGATATACAAGCAGGCAGGGCTGTTAGAAACCAAGGGGCCCCATATAGCCAACCTGAGAGGGTCCCTCTCCCCCCCCAAAAAATGTTTTACTATGCTTCAGTTATGAATGAACACAGTGGGTGATTGTTACCGATCACTCATTGTATTCATTCAGGAAAGGAAGGGGCTGGTAAAGGTGACATATTTACTGGACGCCTCCCCCACACTCCATCCTGAAGGATCTTACTGTGCGCTTGAAGCTGCCGGTGGGAAGAGGAGGGAAGTCGGCAGCACTGTGGGGGAGGGGCACACAGGGGGAATTGCATCATGCACAGGGAGGGGGATGGATGTGGCGGGAATGTGGGGGCAATTACTGGAATACATCCCGTTTGGCTCTCTCTGCAGCAGCTGAAAGCGGATGGGAGAGGAGGAGAAGCCGGCTTCCAGCTGCTGCAGAGAGAGCCATATAGGGGATTGGTTCCAGTAATTGCCCCCCACCGTGCTGATCTCCCTGCCCACATCTGATTCACTCAGCTGCCTGGGCCCCCCTGCTAGCCTGGGCCCCTACAGGAGATCTGCTGGTACCCCCTTATTCATGGCCCTGCAAGCAGGTCACCTGGTGGATGAAGTGGGCTGACCCGAGGTGTGGGGTGTAAGTATTCACCAGAGCTCCTGATGGTGGGGATGGGTTTGGTGGCATGCTAGTACCAGGGCGCGGTTCTCAGGATCTCCCCACCAGGAGGTGAGCAAGTCAGGGTCCAGTAACAGATATAGCAGGTAGGGATCAAGCAGAAGCGTAGTCAGTAAACAGGCCAAAGGTCCGTAATGAACGGTTGCAGGTTGGGATTAAGCAGCAGCGTAGTCGAGGAACAAAGGTCGGTAACGAATGGCAGCAAAGATATGGATGGCAGCAGGAGAGACAAAAGCGAGATATTGGCTGGAGAGAGCGCAATAATCTGGCAAACAGGAAGTGAAGAGGCGTGGCTTGATTTAGGAAGGTAATGGGAGCAGCAAAGACTTTAAGGTTCAAGACAAGCAAGGTTCAAGGCAGGAAATTCAAGAAATTATCTGGGGAGCTGCCCAGGTGGCTCAGCAAGAAGAGTTACTGACAGACACAGCAGAGGTCCTGGGTTCAGTTCCAGGCCCTGACACAGATTTCTCTGCAGGTATGCCAGGGCAGCACTTAGCCTGGTTAGGTATAGGGAACTAGGAGTCATGAATATGGTAATGAGCTTTGGACTGTTCTGCACTTTATCTGAAGTAAAGCCTATGAAATCATGTAATCTGCCTGGTCTGAAGTCCTTAAAAAGGGTGCAATGCAAGTACCAGGCATCTGTCTACTGCTTGGGTTGTTAGCACATGGGGTATGAAGAGTAACTCACTAAAGTCACCTTCATGCTGGTTATACGGTCATGCGGTTGCTGTTAACAAGGGAGAGTACAAGTTAGTGAGCAGCCTGTCTACAGCGTGTACTGTCCGTGGATTGGCCTTTAGCCCCGAGAGATATGTTGTTGGCACTCCCTAAGCCACATTACATTCCTCACAGCAGCCGGGGTGGAAATGCTATGCAGAAGCCCTCATCCTATACAGAGGTATGGAAGGTCAAGAGTTAAAGTAAAGTGCACATTGGAACCCATACTATGTGCATGGCGGGGATCCATGTAGCGACAGGATAGGTGGCCGTGGTCAGTGTTCGGCACGGCCCGCCTAATTGCAAGCTACTTGGGAATAGATACATGAGCACAGGGACCCGAGAGTTACTAGGAAACGGTTGTGCGAGTGTACACGGTGCTTCACCCACCTCTGATGTCGGAGGTCCACCTTAAGGCTGAATTTTTCCCACGGCGGCCTCAACCTTGTTGCAAAGTCTGGATGCACCTAAAAGTAAAGGTCCTCCATGTATAGGAGCCAGGCCCTGTTCTAGCGTAACCCAGAAGTACCCACTCCAACAGGGGGACCCTTTCATGTGAGCTACAACTCTGGTGCCCAATGAGATCAGTGGGACAACATGGAGGAAAGTAACAGCAGCCCCTACCAGAAGCCTTTTTGTTGTCAGTACCCTGTGGAGAAACCACTGTGCAGCTTGGCCCTTCCAACAACAGCCGGGTCACCCGCAAGTCAGTGTTCCTGTTAGCCACCTACAGTGCAGGAAATGTGTATTTGCTCCCCTGCTGATGCTGAATGTTCGCCCCTCACACAGAAATGATCGGTCTAACAATGGAATGTTCGCCCCTCACACAGAAATGATCGGTCTAACAATGGAATGTTCGCCCCTCACACAGAAATGATCGGTCTAACAATGGAATGTTCGCCCCTCACATAGAAACGATCGGTCTAACAATGGAATGTTCGATGTAACACTGAGAGACAGAATACAACAACAAATTCAGCAGAAATGCGTCTAACAAATGATGACGGATCTGCATGTTCATGAGGGAAAGAAGGATTTGATCCCCTATCATTCAGCAGGATTTCTGGCTCCCAGGTGTCTCTCATACACGTAACAAGCTGAGATTAGAAGCAGTCTCTTAAAGGGAGTGCTGCTCATCTCATTGTGTTACCTGTATAAAAGACACCTGTCCACAGGAGCCATCAAACCATCAGATTCCAAACTCTCCACCATGGCAAAGACCAAAGAGCTGTCCAAGGATGTCAGGGACAAGATGGTAGACCTACACAAGGCTGGACTGGGCTACCAAACTATGGCCAAGCAGCTTGGTGAGAAGGTGACAACAGTTGGTGCAATCATTCACAAATGGAAGAAACACAAAACAAGTGTCAGTCTCCCTAGGTCTGGTGCACCATGCAAGATCTCACCTCGTGGAGTGTCAATGATCATGAGAACAGTGAGGAATCATCCCAGAACTACACGTGAGGATCTTGTCAATGATCTCCAGGCAGCTGGGACCACAGTCACCAAGAAAACAATTGGTAACACACTACGCCGACAAGGACTGAAATCCTGCAGTGCCCGCACGGTCCCTCTGCTCAAGAAAGCCCATGTCCAGGCCGTCTGAAGTCTGCCACTGAACATCTGAATGATGCCGAGGAGGACTGGTGGGAAGTGTTGTGGTCAGAGGAGACCAAAATCCAGCTCTTTGGCATCAACTCAACTTGCTGCTTTTGGAGAAGGAGGAATGCTGCCTATGACCCCAAGAACACCATCTCAACTGTGAAACATGGTGGTGGAAACATTCTGCTTTGGGGGGGGGTTTTCTGCTAAGGGGACAGGACAATTGCACCGCATCAAAGGGACGATGGAGGGGGCAATGTACCATCAAATCTTGGGTGAGAACCTTCTTCCCTCAGCCAGGGCATTGAAAATGGGTCGTGGATGGGTGTTCCAGCATGACAATGACCCAAAACACACGGCCAAGGCAACAAAGGAGCGGCTCAAGAAGAAGCACATTAAGGTCCTGGAGTGGCCTAGCCAGTCTCCAGACCTTCATCCGATTGAAAATCTGTGGAGGGAGCTGAACGTTCGAGTTGCCAAACGTCAGCCACCAAACCTTAATGACTTGGAGAGGATCTGCCAAGAGGAGTGGGTCAAAATCCCTCCTGAGATGTGTGCGAACCTGGGGGCCAACTCCAGGAAACGTCTGACCTTTGTGATTGCCAACAAGGGATTGGCCACCAAGTACTAAGTCATGTTTTGTGAAGGGGATCAAATCCTTCTTTCCCTCATGAACATGCAGATCAGTCATCATTTGTTAGACGCATTTCTGCTAAATTTGTTGTTGTATTCTGTCTCTCAGTGTTACACCGAATATTCCATTGTTAGACCGATCATTTCTGTGTGAGGGGCGAACATTCCATTGTTAGACCGATCATTGTTTTCTGTGTGAGGGGCGAACATTCCATTGTTAGACCGATCATTTCTGTGTGAGGGGCGAACATTCCCATTGTTAGAGACCGATCCATTGTTTTCTGTGTGAGGGGAGAACATTCAACATCAGCAGGGGAGCGAATACGCATTTCCTGCACTGTATGTCCCAACATCCTTCAATTCTAACATTTGATTGGATAACAGGATGGATACAGCCCAACAAAAAAAAACATCTTTTATCTCGGTGCCTTGCTTGTTAGACCTGTTCTTGGGGTCACTTGGGCGCTGATTCAGAAAATTGCATTGGCTAGATGGAAACAGCTCTAGCTTCTTAGATATGGTTCAATTTTATAATTTTTAGTCAGTTTTTGGAGATCTCGCTGATCAGCTTGCTCTCCTGTTACCTGGTTTGTGTTTTGTGTAGCAGTCACCAGATACTGTATAATGAGAGTGTTACAGACGTCCAACTGTCATTTTACAGCAGAAACATTGGATTGTAAAGTGAACATTGTGAACTATCTTCTAGTTATGGTGGTAGAGGTGTGTGGATATTGCACTGGTGAGGTTTTGACTACTCCACGACGGTGCTGCCTGAATCATCCCGATATATTTTACTATATTTGTGGGGAGTACACCCTAAAAAGTGAGTAGGAAGCCCATTTCGGAGTTGGTGAAGGAAGCATGTCTAGGTTATTTTGGTGTCAAGGTTGCAGATGAAGATAAGCCATGGGCTCCTTATATTGTATGGAGAACTTGTATGGAACATTTGTGGAGGTGGACAAACCTGGAACCTTATGCAGGATTGTACCGGCAGATCCCACTCTCGGAAGTCCTACAATAGAGCTTCTTCTGTGTGGAATGATTGGACCATTGTAGGTGGCTCTTCATAGCTATGCTCTGCTACGTTGATAAATTGGAGTGTGGGCACAACATACGCTCCCAAAGGCTCTCTGTGTTTGTAGACCTGTGCCATGTTCATGCTCCAGTTCGTTGTGTACAGCCACCTACAACCTTCCATGTCTATGGATGACAGTACACAACACCAGGAGCCCCTGGACACCACAACAGGCTACTGGGAGTACACTGTACAGGAGAACACGACCGTGTGCATGAGCCCCTATTATGTAGAATGGTAAAGGTTGGATGGGTTGTAGTACAGAGTCAGGCAGATGTCAAGGCCCTGTGTATATTATGCCATAGACAGGTTCCAGGAGCTGTATACCCAAGTATGCAGATTGGGAAAGTCAGAGACACAACAAAGGTCCTCATCTATAGTAGATACTTGTTCCAGCTCACCTGGTGCTTCCCATGCTTCCCTCTTCTATGTAGTACTAGGAAGAAGGGGGGTTGTTCTAATTGGGAGGGTCCCCAACAAGCTAGAGATGGCCCCATGATAATAAGAAACTTCCACCCCAATAGAGCCCACTACTGCCCCCTAGGAGTCAGAAAAAAAACTGCAAGTGATGCTCAAAACTGTTTCATGTAGAAGAGAAAAGTCTCACCTCCGATGACGTTGAGTGTCCTGCGTACCGAGGTCCGGAGATGTCAGTGCCGGGTGTTTTACTTGGACAGATAATTCCGCTCCATTATGCAGGTCATAGCTGGGAGTTATATGGAGAGAACACTGACAGTTGAATGATCCAAGCTTCTTCATACTGATAATAGGAATCATCTCCAGCTGTAGAGGTCTGTCCTCGTGTCTTGGAGAGCCGTTCATCAGTTGTTTCCCTTCCTCCATATCTATCACATCTTCATCCTCTCCACCATCATCTCTGCTTACCCTGACCTGAGCGGGGTGACCTCCAGACTTCCAGGTGTAGATGGTCCTCATCTCCTGCTCCTCAGATCTCCTCATACACACAAAGATTTCTATGTCGTTGGGTTTGAAGTCCATAATCTGACAAGTCAGAGTCGTCCTGTTCATGTCAATCAGCTCATTGTTTCCGGTGATCTCAGAGAGAGTGGGAGGATCTGGAAGAGGAAATCATCGAATGGATTATTACATTTACTATGTGATGTATTTGTGTTATCCGGAGATCAGATTCATCTCTTCTCTAATAGCAAATATACATGAGAGGGTCTAAGCTTGCCATAGACGATTGGAATCTCGGCAGGAACCGGCCGAGATTCGAACCAAGTATGGGCAGACTGAATGTACTCAAGTTGATCGAATTGATTTTACATGCATGTATCGCTAGCGGCTGTTATAGCCACTAGCAATAATCACTGTCTTCTCCTGGCAGGGACAGCTTCCCCCGCACCCCCACACCCCCTCGTTGGGAGAACACAATGGCTCGGAAGGAGGATTCCCATGTCAACATTGTGTTGATGGGGGAATTAAGCAAATTTCTTTCCTGCAATCCCTGGGAAAATGATAATAATTTGTGTACATGGGATTGCTAGAGAGTATCCTGTGACAATGGTGTGCTTTGGGAACTCTCTGGGTGTCATCATTTGGGGCTGGTTTCCAAACTACCCCATGACGCCTTTGTGGAAGGGATTTCCAATAATTCTGAGAACTCTGGGATTGCCTGATTCCCAAGTGCTTCTTAAAGTAGAACTATAGGAAAACCTATAGTTTACACGAGGGTTAGAACCCCCGTCAGTTTCTTTTTTTGCCATCTGTGCCCCATTGGGGAGATTTCCTTTCACTTCCAGTCCCATAGCCAAACAGGAAGTGAGAGGAAATCCCTACAAAATACAGGAATTCCATGGGAAGATTTCAAGTGTCCCCATTGGAAGATTTCACCTCTAATAATTTTCTGGAAACGACCCAAAATTTGGGATTTCCATTCACTTCCAATGATAATGGTAAACAGAACAAATAGAGAGGATGAGTCTCCCTACCGGGGACACAGCAATGAAAACCAACAGGGGGTCTAATTTACCTCCACTCCATCCAAAACTAAAATAAAAATGTGCCTTTAGTTATACTTTAGGAGAATGAAGGTACTCCTAGGAATCCTCTGATGGTTGTGGGGATTCTCCTGGGTTTACCTTGTAAGCGTTAGAAGGGGAATCACCGGGGCATAGGAGGGGCCTACATCCCCAGAAGAGGAAATCTCTTGTCTTTGCTGAATTGGACGTACCAAGAGAATTTATACACTGAAAAACTGAAGGACTCCACACTGCTATGGGCATGGGAGAACGTGGAAAAAGTAGATGGGGAATTGGGTAACCCAGATGGAAGGGTTGTCTCCCATACTTCACCATGGAGAGGGACCCATTATACTGGGTGTCACGGAGGGCGGAGGAAACCTTTTAGCACTGGTGATGCCCAAACCTTACCAAACTCTAGTACTAGAACTGACAAATGGACACATTCTTGGGGGCATTTGGGAGTTAAAAAGACCCGGGAGATTATAGTACTGAGGTTCTATTGGCCTGAGGTCACCAAAGAAGTGGATGTGTACTGTTAATTCCTGTCTGATGTATCAGAAATCTGCACCAATGCCACATTTCAATATCCCTTTGGTCTCCCTCCCCGTCACTGAGGTCCCTTTCCAGAGAATCCCCATGGATGGTCGATCCTTTGTTGAAATCCACTAGAGAGCATCAACACGCCTTGGTGATAATGGACTATGCCACCCATTACCCAGAACACGTAGAGTTCCTATCTGTATATTTAATGGGCATGAAAACCTGATACAAGTGTTTTTCATCAAGATTGGTAAATACAATTTGTCCTCAGTACATCGGCTTGTGTTTTTCAGCTCCTGTCACCTCCATGATTCAGGCTGCTGTGATTGTAGCGTTAGGAATCATCCGATTCTAATCACCAGCCCTGCGGAGAGCCACAAATATCTGTCATTACAGTGAATGGGGCCGGCGGCCGCACCTAGCCGCTCACAACCTCAGTAGGAATGAGAAGATTCCTGCCGCTACAATCTGCACCGGCCTAAACCACCAAATCACCCGTGTGATCGTAGCCGAACGGTTGTGTGATGAAAAGACATTTTATTGTTTGAGAAGCAGAACTAAATCTTTTTTTCAATTCCTTTTTGGTTTTTATGAGCAGGACCCTCAATCCTCTTGTTTTGATGGTCTTGTAGCTGTACTGTTGGCGCTCTATAAGCAGAATACATTGAATGTGACTGTGTGGTCACTATGGACCCTAGGGAGGTCATTCATTGACAGGAAGCCTCCACATGTCAGAGGGACATCTGGTCCCCACATACAGTACATATACAATGTTCATCTTCGTATTGTCCCCGAGTGCCGTCAGTGCAATGTAATGTTATGAATGATAACCTGGGAGCTTTATACTTCTCATCCTTTCGTACATTTGTTCTTTTCAATAAAAAGATTGGAATATACATGAATCCTCCAGAATGACTGTTGACTCCTTACCTTTCTTTACAAATCTGAAGCAGAGGAAAGCCAACAAACCCAGAAATAATGTACACAGGATTGTCAGGACCACAGCGGTGATAATGGCTCCGGAGTTATCTCCTCTCTCTGTAAGGAGAAAGGACAAATCACAATCTGGATGTAGAATCCACAAAGGAGAACTTTGGTTTGTTTTTAGGGCAACACAGACAGTTCGTTTTACACACACTGGAGAACCTGGAGCCTAATATGGAGAAGGAAAACCCATACAGTCAAGGGCAGACCATACACAAGTCAATTTCGTTCGACCCACTGGACATTCGAGGGGGATGGGGGAGTCCTCCCAAGTGAGCTATTGTATTCTGATGGCAGGGAGACTTGCATTGATACATTGATCAGCAGCGCCCCCTATAGCCTCCAGCTCTGATTGAGCGAAGAAAACCCAACAGGGTGGATGCTAACAGAAGTCAGTCGTGTCAACTTCTGTATCAACTTCTGTACAACCTCCTTTGGTCACTTCCTGCTGAAACAGCTGAATTTTGATCCATGTGTGGCTGACTTAGGTACAGAACCCACACAGCAACAAAAACGTATGTCAGGATGATATTAAAGGTGTGGTATTATTACCACGTCCTCCTACAGGTGGACCTCCATGGAGTGCCGTACTGCCAGGATCTCACCTGCTGAGCTGTGATGGATGTGATGTGGTGTCTCTGTAAATAGTTAGCAGTGCGGCCTAAAGGAACGTGAACCAAAATCAGCAAATAACTAAAATGTTACAGTCAGTGTGATACAATGTCTGTATTTACTCCAGTTTCTCTTCTTCCTGGAATAGACACCATCTCAGGATGATATTTGGTTTTGAACATGGATCTTCAGAGGCCGAAATCCTTTACATGAGTGAGGGCTCAGGATGATATTTGGATTTGGACATGGATCTTCAGAGCCGAGATCCTTTACACGAGTGAGGGATCAGGATGATATATGGTTTCGGACATGGATCTTCAGAGGCCGAGACCCTTTACACGAGTGAGGGCTCAGGATGATATTTGGTTTTGAACATGGATCTTCAGAGGCCGAGACCCTTTACACGAGTGAGGGCTCAGGATGACATTTGGTTTTGAACATGGATCTTCAGAGGCCGAGACCCTTTACACGAGTGAGGGCTCAGGATGACATTTGGTTTTGAACATGGATCTTCAGAGGCCGAGACCCTTTACACGAGTGAGGGCTCAGGATGACATTTGGTTTTGAACATGGATCTTCAGAGGCGGAGACCCTTTACACGAGTGAGGGCTCAGGATGATATTTGGTTTCTGGACATGGATCTTCAGAGGCGGAGATCCTTTACATGAGTGAGGGCTCAGGATGACATTTGGTTTTGGACATGGATCTTCATAGGCCGAGATCCTTTACACGAGTGAGGGCTCAGGATGACATTTGGTTTTGAACATGGATCTTCAGAGGCCGAGACCCTTTACACGAGTGAGGGCTCAGGATGATATTTGGTTCTGGACATGGATCTTCAGAGGCGGAGATCCTTTACATGAGTGAGGGCTCAGGATGACATTTGGTGTTTGGACATGGATCTTCAGAGGCCGAGATCCTTTACATGAGTGAGGGCTGAGGATGATATTTGGTTCTGGACATGGATCTTCAGAGGTGGAGATCCTTTACACGAGTGAGGGCTCAGGATGATATATGGTTTCGGACATGGATCTTCAGAGGCCGAGATCCTTTACACGAGTGAGGGCTCAGGATGATACAGTTGTAAGAAAAAGTATGTGAACCCATTGGGATTACGTGGAGTTTTGCATGAATTGGGCATAAAATGTGCTCTGAACGTCATCTAAGTCACAACAATAGAAGAACACAGTCTGCTGAACATAATACTACACAAACATTAGATGTTGCCATGGTTTAATTGCACATAACATGTAAACATTCACAGTGTAGGGAGGAAAAAGTATATGAACCTTTGGACTTAATAACTGGTTGACCCTCCTTTGGCAGCAATAACCTCAACCAAACATTTCCTGTAGTTGCAGATCAGACCTGCACAACGATCTGGAGTCATTTTGGACCACTCCTCTTCACAAAACTGTTTCAGTGTAGCAATATTCTTGGGATGTCTGGTGTGAATCGCTCTCTTAAGGTCATGCCACAGCATTTCAATCGGGTTGAGGTCAGGACTCTGACTGGGCCACTCCAGAAGGCGTATTCTGTGCTGTTGCAGCCATTGTTTTGTTGAATGACTTGTATGCTTTGGGTCATTGTCCTGTTGCATCACCCATCCTCTGCGGAGCTTCAGTTGGAGGACAGATGGTCGTACGTCTTCCTGCAAAATGTCTTGATAAACTCTGGAATTCATTTTCCCATCAATGACAACAATCCGTCCAGGCCCTGAGGCAGCAAAGCAGCCCCAAACCATGATGCTCCCTCCGCCATGTTTCACAGCGGGGATGAGGTTTTGATGTTGGTGTGCTGGGCCTTTTTTTCTCCACACATAGTGTTGTGTGTTCTTCCCAAACAACTCAATCTTGGTTTCATCTGTCCGCAGTATATTCTGCCAGTAGTGCTGTGGAACATCCAGGTGCTCTTTTGCAAACTTCAAACGTGCTGCAATATTCTTTTTGGACAGCAATGGCTTCCTCCGTGGTGTCCTCCCATGTACTCCATTCTTGTTTAATGTTCTCCTTATTGTAGATGTGTCAAAAATGTTATCATGTGCCAGAGATTTCTGTAGGTCTTTAGCTGACACTCTGGGATTCTTCTTTATCTCATGCAGCATTCTGCGCTGTGCTCTTGCAGTCATTTTTACAGGACGACCACGCCTAGGGAGAGTAGCAACAGTGCTAAACTTTCTCCATTTGTAGACAGTCTGTCTTACCGTGGACACATGAACATCAAGGCTTTTGGAGATATTTTTGTAACCCTTTCCAGCTTCATGCAAGTCAACAATTCTTGATTGTAGGTCTTCTGAGAGCTCTTTTCTGCGAGGCATGGTTCACATCAGACAGTGCTTCTTGAGACCAGTAAACCCAAAACAGGTGTCAGCAACACATCCAATATCATCACACTGATTGGAGTCAAGGTTGGCTCACTCCTGGCTCCAATTAGCTCTGGGAGAAGTCATTAAGCTAGGGCCTCACATACTTTTTCCTCCCTGCACTGTGAATGTTTACATGTTATGTGCAATTAAACCATGGCAGCATCTAATGTTTGTGTAGTATTATGTTCAGCAGACTGTGTTCTTCTATTGTTGTGACTTAGATGACGTTCAGAGAGAACATTTTATGCCCAATTCATGCAAAACTCCACGTAATCCCAAGGGGTTCACATACTTTTTCTTGCAACTGTATATGGTTTCTGGACATGGATCTTCAGAGGCCGAGATCCTTTACACGAGTGAGGGCTCAGGATGATATTTGGTTCTGGACATGGATCTTCAGAGGCGGAGATCCTTTACATGAGTGAGGGCTCAGGATGACATTTGGTTTTGGACATGGATCTTCAGAGGCCGAGATCCTTTACATGAGTGAGGGCTCAGGATGACATTTGGTTCTGGACATGGATCTTCAGAGGTGGAGATCCTTTACACGAGTGAGGGCTCAGGATGATATATGGTTTCGGACATGGATCTTCAGAGGCCGAGATCCTTTACACGAGTGAGGGCTCAGGATGATATATGGTTTCGGACATGGATCTTCAGAGGCCGAGATCCTTTACACGAGTGAGGGGGTTTCCTAGTGTCTACCTGATGCTCTGTCCCGTGTTGTCTGGATGCCTCGTTATAATGGGTTCCTGGTGATGCTATTAGCCTTGTTATTCATAGGACTGTATCAGAGGTAGGACTACGGGTTACTTTACATAATAAAATGGTTGCCAAGTACCAAGGAACTTGTATCAAATGGTAAGACAAACTGTTAAATACTCGAAATGTTATTCTCATTTGGCCTGGCATACAATTTAACCCGCGATACAGAAAGTAATACAATTAAGGGGCTCTATCCCCTCCCCCATCTAAAAAATGTAATTTATAATTGGCCTTCAATCTCTTGTATGTCACCTTCCACCACAATGGGGATCCAATACTAACACTGACACCACAGATATTACTGACCTGTGACTGTGAGGGTGAGATTCCTGGACAGTTCAGTCCGCAGAGATCGGTGCCTGATAATACAGGAATACGTGTTCCCATCATCCTCTTTCTTGGGGTTCAGGGTCAGTAGACTTGTCACATTGTACGTCCCGTCTGAATTAATAAGCACATTCTTCACACAGGTCCAGAGCTCTAGGAGCTCACAGTCAGATGATCCCTTACGATACTGACCCCAGCGTATGGAAACATCTTTTGGGTAAAAGGTATGAACTTCACACATCACCGTCTTCTCTGTCCCCGACTCGATGGTCAGATCATTTGGTGTCACGTAAGCCGATGGAGGAACTGTACAGAGAATAATCATTATTGCCACAAATACAGAGATCACATCCACAGTGCAGTTTATAACCCTCAGGAAGTATCTGTGAAGATAGAACAGGAAATAAAACCAGCCAAAAGGTGGAGCAGATGATCCACAGAGAAGACAACCACTGCACTCCCTCCAAATCTATCACCACCAGCAGTGAGCATTTCCTATGGGAGACATTCCTAGTGATGGACGGAAAGCACTACAGAGCATTCATTGGGTTGGGTGAAAGGTTTTCCATCTCTTAGGTGGCCTTTTAGTCTTAGAAATGTCTTATTAGTTGCTGCTGTTCTTTCCCAGAGCACAGGTAGGTACATCTCAGAGAACAGGAGAGATGCCACAGAGCCAGCGAGGGGCTAAAAGAGCTGCACAAAGGAGATGGCAGTGGTGTTGGAGCTGCTTGATATTGGCAGAGGTGGTCATGGAGCTAGTGGTGATATTAATAATGGTGTGGTGATGGTGACAATGATGAGTGGTGGTGGCAATTATAGAGGCTTATGGTGGCAGTGGTGGTGATGAAACTTGGTGGTGATGCTGGTAGCAATGGAGATGATGTTATGAACTTCAGATAAAACAACTAAAGCTGGGAAAAAGATGATATATAACCTGCCAAATATTAATGATTTTCCACAGCCTCACCGTCTCGTGATTCACCCATCTACTCTATTGCTGAGTTAAATGTGGCTATGCAGCTTGGTAGTTGTTCTACGTACTTCGC